GGTTTTCCCTAGGATTACTGTGCAGTCGTCTTTCTAAAATACAAATCCGACCTTACCACTGACTGGTAAAGCGTGGCAACCCTTTATCCTACAGGAACTGGAGAGCCCTGAAAGCTCTATCACAATGTTTTTCAAACTGTGGCTTGTGACTGACGAAGTCTTTAAAAAGTGAAATGGAGTCCATGGAAGAGTGTATTGCAAGGGAGTGAGGCAAGTATTGTTTGGGAAACATCTGTGTGTGCTGGACATTTAAAACGTCATCCTTGCTGCCCTTTGACCTCTCTCTGCCTTTGCACATATTGTTTCTTCATCTGGAATGTTCTTCCCTTGCTCTGCCTGGGGACCTCTAACTATCCTTCAAGTTCCAGTTTAAATGCATCAGCCACTCGATTCTCAGCCATTTAATTCTCATCCCTTCCTCTGTTTCCTGGGTGGTAGTTACTTGTTTGCTGGTCTCTCCTATTGCTGGGGGTAAAGGCAAGGACCATGTCATGTTTTGAGTTTCTTTTTTTTTTTTTTTTAATTAAAAAAATTTTTTTGGCTGCACTGTGCAGCATGCGGGTTCTTAATTCCCCGACCAGAGATCGAACCCACACACCCTGCAGTGGAAGCTCAGAGTCTTAACCACTGGACTGCCAGGAAAGTCCCCTTTGTTTTTATCTTTAGAACGCCTATAACAGAGCTTGTCTCAGAAAGGACTCTGCTATGTTCACTCTTTTATAGACCTTTGCTTGCAGTTAATCCTTACTGAACATCAATTTCTTAATATGCCTTATAATTTCCCATTATTGTCATATTCAGCTTTTTACAAAAATTTATTTTTTATTTATTTGTTTCGGCTGTGCTAGGTCTTCGTTGTGGCATGTGGGCTCTTTGTTGCAGTGCACGGGCTTCTCTAGTTTCGGCGTACGGGCTCTCTGGTTGTGGTGCAAGGGATCTAGAGCATGCGGGCTCAGTAGTTGTGGCGTGCGGGCTTAGTTGTGGTATGTGTGATCTTAGTTTCCTGACTAGGGATCAAACCCAGGCCCCCTGCATTGGCAGTGCAGTCTTAACCGCTGGACCACCAGGGAAATCCCATATTCAGCTTTTAACAGCAATATAATTCCTCTATAACTAAAGTTTAAAAATAATGAACAGTTTGAAAACAACTCACATCCATTGTGATTCTTAGATTTGTCTTGAATGAGGTACCACGTAACACGCGGGTGATGTTATCTGCTCTTTTTTTCCCCTACTCCCAACAATGATGCGACCCCATTTAAATTAAGAATGCCATCGGGGCAGATTTCAGAAGATCCATACATTTCTTAGCGTAAAGAAACCGTGATCAAAAAGAGGCTGATTGACTCTGGAGGAATAAAGCAGAACACAAAGGTTAGTAAAACTTACACTTCGGAATTCAAATAGAATCTCTCTTTATAAATAAGTTGACTATGGGAAACGAAAGACACTTAAAAGAAACAAGCCTCACAGAACTCTGGTTAAACCTGAAAATAATTTTCCCCCATCAATTTCACATATGTTCTTTATTTTTCCATTACAACAGCTGCCTTTGGGGCAGCTAGAATGAATTCTAGAAGAAATGTGCGAAGGAGCTCGGTTACCAATCTGATGTAGGGTGGTTTACTTTTCTTTCTGCCTACACAGCAACCTATGCTTCAGGACTGAAATGCTGCAAAAATGCTGGGCAGTGCTTTCCAGCCCAACCGCATAACCACTCCATTCATGAGTGGAGAGAGTCTGTGTTGGAACATGCTCAGCTTACAGACCTGCGGGCTGCGTTCCTGGGCCCACATTTCAGAGCAGTGTAAACAGCTGAAGTGGCCACCTTTGTAGATACCACTCCCAGGTTTTAAAAAGACTGAGGTTTTACCTCCTCTCACCAGAGTTTCAGGCTATACATAGAGAACTAGGTACCTGCTTTTCCCGCAGCTCGTGCACTGGCAGAAGGCCAGAGAGGATGTAAGGTAACCTTGAGAATAAGAGCCCTGAATTACTGCAGCAAATCCTCGTCTTCACTACAGTAGAGTGGAGGTGAAGGAGGAAGGGAGATGACAGCTCCCAATGAGGCTGGTTTGCATTTATGCAGTTCAAACTGTATTACAACACGTACCATCAGAAGGCAAATCTCCAACAAACAACCCACATCACAGCCATCCACTTGGACTGAGGGTCATCTTGGACCCAGGAATCAATTTAGAATCACAGATGATAGAACTACAGTTACCCCCTTGAACTATGCGGGACTTAGGGGCGCCCACCTGGCGCAGCTGAAAATCCACATTTAATTTTACAGTCCGTCCTCCTATTCGCAGTTCCTCTGTACCCGCGGGTTCCGCGTCTGTGGGTTCCACCAACCTGGGATCGTGTGATCCTAGAGTAGTTTCTGAAAAAAAAGTCCACATATAACTGGACTTGTGCAGGTCGAACCCGTGTTATTCGTGTCAACTGTATAATGGAATTTTACAATTAACCTACAGGTGGGAAAACAGGGTGATTTCTCTAAAGTCATACTTAGCGAAGGGCAGAGTTGGGCTGCCTACACCACGCGGCCGTTATGGGTAGGAAGGACGTGCTGGGTGTTTCCTTTCTCTCAGTCCATCCCACCCTTCTATGCTCTGTTCTGTCACGCTGGGACTGGGCCCTGCAAACCCCGTGGCCTATCCTCCCCTGCTGGCCAGCTGGGTGCTGAGAAGCAGGCAGTGGTGGGAGAATAGAATGCAGGAAGAGGACAGAAGTGACTTTCTTCCTTTTTCTACCTCTGTCAGTGTCCCAGCAGCAACAGAGGACCGCGCGGGTCCACTTTCCAGATCCCTTTGGTAGCCCCAGCACCGGCCATGGTGCCCCCTCAGGAGTGCCAGCACTAGTGGCTGTAACCCCCTTAGTGGTGTGCATGCCTGTGTCCCACCCCAATCAGAGGTTTGAGTACTAACCATTAGGTGGGTGTCTCCTTCCCCACCAGAGCACTGGTGTGGCATCTCCTCCAGAGATGTGAGGACCTCTCCTCTGGGCTCCCGGGTTACGGGAACGCTACTTTATCCTAGGGGTGGTAGCTGCTTCCTGAATTATTAATATCTGTTACCTCAAGGCCCTTTTTTGCTACTTCAGCCTTCTTGTATTAACTCACCTCTGACGTGATACCCACCATGGCTTTCTTACTGGACCCTGCCTGATACTGTACTTGGTATTAAGAGTGTTTGTCATACCGTCTTTGGAACACGTACGTCTTACTGAAACATCTAAGGCATTTACTACTTCCTGCTCAACAGATCCAAAGTCATGGGCCAATGCGATGTTCTGAGGGGAGTGAAGACACTCAAGATCTCTGCAGACTAGATCATGGCAAGAACATGATCTAGACACGGACACAGCTAGAATATAATGCTGATATCTTAACAGTTGTGACCTGTGTGTGAGAACTAGTGTGAATTCACTTTATCAACAAGAACGGGATCTGTAAATTTAAAGTCAATGCTATTCTCTAGCAGCATCTGCTTAATTGGAAATGAAGTGAAGAAATCTGGAAACTCTGAACTCTCCACTAGATGGCAATCATTACACAAATTTGTGTTAGCCTCCCATGACGCTAGTGGCCAACAAATGTATTAATACTCCCATTTTATTGATCATAAGCAACTGACAAGTTGGGAGTGTGCTGAAGGTATGACACTGGTTTGGTGTGAGGCTGTTTTTGAGTCTTTCATTCACTGACTTGTGGCAGAGACTGCTAGTCGTCCCCAAACATACTAGTTAGCACAGGCTGGGTTATGTTGCAGCAACAAATTAGCTCCAAATAAATCCCGATGATTTGGCACATTCCACACTGCATGCAGATGGGCAGGGCAATTCCACACAGTCTCTTGGGGATCCAGGCTGATGGAGACTCCAGGATCTTATAGCTGCATCACCTAGAACCTGTGGCTTTCTTGGTTACTGGGGCGGGAAGAGCTACTGCAGAACTGCATGTAGTCTTTTCACATGTCACTTCCTTTCATAGCCAACTGGCTAGAACTAGTCATGTGGTCTCACTAGAGGTCATCTTCCTGCCCAGAGGGGAGAATAGGGTCTAATAATGTCTAACCACACCCTGTATCTACTCTTCTTCAACAGCAATAGAGCTCCAGGTGTTAGCTGGGCACGTGGCTGTCCCCGTACCCAAGATTACATTTCTAAAGCTAAGTGGCTAAATTGTGGCCAGTGGATGTAAAGTGAAGTGAACGGCAGGAAGTGTCCTCAAGGAGAAGTGTACGTTTCTTCTCTTTCTTCATCCTGCCTGCTGGCTAGTATGTAGACACAACGGCTGGGGCTCCAGCAGCTCTCCTGGACTTTGCAGTGAACTCGGAAATGGAAGCCAAGCCTGACGGAAGAACTACCTGGAAGGAAACTTGGTCCCTGACCCCTTGGAGGCCACACCAACTCTGGACTATCTGCAGACTTCCTGCATGTGACCGATGAACTTGTATCTTTCTTAAGCTGCTGTTATTTGGGGGTTTTTCTGCTACTTGCATCTGAATTTAATCCTTGCTAATGTGGGTGCCCCAGTGCAAAGTCTGTTATGGTTTCTTTTCCCAGTAAGTAACATCCCTCTTCCCCTTCCACGTTCAGAATTAACTGGTAGACACAGAGGTCTGAGAGACGGACATCAGATATTAATAAAGTATCTCTACCATTATTAATAAAGCTGACTGGAGACATGGCTTTAGATTAGTAGACGAAGGCTGTGGCAATTTCCTGAAGTCAGACAACAATGAAGTAGCCCCCTCCTTTCACGGATGATTTTTCTGTAGCCTGCAACGCTGTTTGCTAGCATTTTACCCACAGCAGAACGTCCTTCAAAATTGGCATCAAGCCTCTCAAACCCTGCTGCTGCTTTCTCAACTACATCTGCCATATTCTCAATCCTCTGTTGTCATTTCAACAATCTTCACAGCATCTTCACTGGGATTAGATTCCAACTCAAGAAACCACTTTCTTGGTTCATCAATAAGAAGCAGCTCCTCATCTGTTCAAGTTTTATATTTATAACAAACATAATAATAACGAAAACATTTGAAATATTACAAGAATTACCAAAAGGTGACACAGAGACATGAAATGAGCAAACGCTACTGGGAAAATAGCGCCTACAGACTTGCTGGACACAGGATGGCCACAAACCTTCAATTTTTAAAAATCACAGCATCTGCGAAGCACGATAAAATGAGGTACGCCTGTACGCACAGAGAGATGGGCAGTGATGTTCAGGGCAGAGTGGGGGAGGAAGAACCCTGGACGCTAGTTCTGGGGATGCGTACCTTAGCAGCTGTAGAAAGAAGAAACCAACACCAGCAGTTGGAGTGACAGGAGATTCATTTATGCAACACGTCTACAGTTCACAAAGGACTTCCGTTTACATGATCTCATTTTACTCTCAGAGCAATTTGCAAAGTAGAACATTTGTCACATTTCACAAGTAAGGAACTGCTGCTTAGAAACGATGCTATCACCTGTGGCCCTGCTTTCTTTGTTGGTTTTCGGGGCACCGCCTTCTTTAGCTGTTTATTTTCCCTTCCTCTCATTATTCCTTCTCAGGAAAAGCCTTTTCTTCTGTATTTCCCCTTAAAATAAATGTTAACGGGCCTCCCCCTCTTCTGCTGTACCCTCTCACTAGGTGACCTCACCCACTCTCATGTTTAGCATCACATATGACCGACAGCTGCCAAGTCTACAAGGCAGAGCCTGGACCTCTGCACGGAGCACCTGATCTCTACACACCCCTTCTGCTGAACTCTCGGGTTCACCACACGCGCCCAGGAGGAGCAGCACGGCAAGCAGTCCCGGGCCGACACAGGCAGCCGGCACGGTCTGTGAGGAGGGGAGAGGCTGGAGCTCAGCAGAGGGACAGGGCCGCAAAAGCCGCTGGCGCTCAGAGGTGTGCCAGTCTTCAATGCTCAGCATTATTTTTCAGTATTTGGATTGTTGATTCCTATGCCAACTCTTTACACATGGTCTTAATTTCACGTTGCTTCAATTCTTTCTTTGAAAGTAAGAGAAGTTTAAAATATGAATTTGAACGACACAAAACCCTTGTACGTTACATAAGCCAAGGATTTTTAGTCTAATTTGACCATTCACTCACTCACTCACTCACTCACTCACTCACTGATTTGTTCAAACATATACTGAGCACTTTTTATGTGCTAGGCGTGGTGCCAGTCGCTGGGTTTAACAATGATTAAGACAAAGCCCCTCAAGGAGCTCACAGTCTAATGGTAAACTACTGAGTAAACTGAGGCACAGAGTGGTAAATGACTTACCCAATGAGGTAGAAATAGCTAGGTACTTGGAAACGTGGGACTGGAGCTGAAGAGAGGGCAGGTACCACTAACTCATCGTAAGTAAAAGATCCCCTTTGATTGAAGAGCAAGGCTGCATACAGAAACATACATAAACCCTGCTTGCAAGGAAGGTTAAAATACTTCCCAATTCTCATCATGATTGAATTCATGTCTTGCAAGAAATTAAGCCATGACCTGATGGCATCTGTACACTCGCCCCTAAAGCTTGGGGCATGCCACCAGTCTGTTCAGACACAATGACTCTGTAGGGAGCTTAAAGTCCAATTTTAGCGCTGGGAACCATACTGAAATACCTTCATTAAATCCATGAACTTTAAATGTATAGCATATTTATGATACTTCTACATGTAGAAGTTTGGGAAAAACTCTCCTCTAACCCTCATCCAGAGGATTCTAATAAGTTATAGATACCACAGAAATTAGAGAATATGTCTGTTACTTTCCATATATACATCATTTTGGCTGTACAAAGGTGAAAAGTTTCACTTCGACGTACTTCATAAGTGATCTAAACATTATACAAATATATACAAAGACATCATGTCCAGATGCGTGCGTACACCCATCCACTGCAGACATGAACCCGTGTAAGGCAATTTCTTTTGTGATAATGACACATGATCCACGCAGCAAAGGGCAAGGTCCACTGAGAACAGTCCATCCAGCCTGCCTGTCTGCTTCAGTGATACTCTGGGTGATTTAGTAATTTCAGTAGGCAAAATGTCTATTTCACTGACAAAAAGCAGTGAATAATTATAAAAAGAGTTGTTTCCAAATGAAGAAACCGTAATTATCCAGTAATCTAAGTAGTGAACTACTTGAAGGTACTCCTGGCCTTACTGCTGCTACTGAGAAAATGTCTGGGATGATTTATTGCTCTGAGAATCACATCTAATGCATAATTCATCCACACAGGATGTCCCCAAAAGACTCAATGCACGAATCCTCAAATGCCATCAATTGCTCACTTCAAGCAGTTCTTCACTTTGCTGTGGAGGGTTTTCTTCTGAAAAATAACAAGCACAAGAGAAACCCTCCTAAGTGAAGATATGAAAGGCAGACAGGTAATAGAACATACAATTCAAGTGCTTAAAAAAAAATAGGAGGACCTCGGTCAAGAAGCATATTCTTACGTTAACGGCATAAGGCTATTTGAGTCTCACAAGAATAAACGAGAACTCAAGCATGTGCCTGAGAGGCCGGGTCAGAGGATGCAAACAGCCTTCTCTACAGAGACCACACTCTGGGACCAACTACAATTCTAAGTTTTCACGGCTATCAAAACTACACAGAAACAGTCTAAACTACAGTTAAGAATTACCTTGTAATTTTTTAACTCATGTTTTTTGTAGCTAGGAAGAGTAAAAATACCTATAAGGCCATAATATTCATTTATAAAACTCTATCTATTTTAAAAATCATTAAAACCTTAAAGTTTCCTAATGACAAGATTGGTCACTCACCTTTCTCAGGGGCGGGCTGCTCTGGATGTCTGCTTTCAGATGAAGAGGCGCCGACACCGTCCGACACGTTACTGCTTGGGTGGCTCTGCTCCACTTCACACAGATAAACATCGATAGGCCCCTGAGTGCTCCTGATATGGACCGTGATAGAGTCCTAGCAAAGACACAGGAAACATCTAGATGAATGAGAGAATTCATTAATTATATTTTTTCACTTACTAGAAGTGTAAGGGACACTTTTGAAAATTCTCATTCAGGTAGTTTCCCTTCTATCACATATTTGGGAAAATCACGTATTTATTAGTTAGCTTGGGTCACAGAAAGCCACTGGCCAGTTCACACAGGTAACACAGTTACTTGATTGTGCAGCAGTGGTTTCAGAGCCAGGAGGGGCCCCCTCAGCACTCAGGAGCCCGTCTTTCTCTACTCAAGACGTGACCCCTTTAAGGAGTCTGTACTTGAGACTCAAAGATCAGTATTTTGACGACAAAGAAATCTAAAACACCCCGCAGACTCAAATGATACGGCTGTGTTAAGATTTCAGACCCCTGAAGAGGTACTGAGCTAAATGAAAGGACCATTCTTCCATCCACTTGAAAAAGAGGATGAGATCAAGACAAAATATACCTCTTGTAATTTAAAACATTAAAACCCAAAAGATATCAGGAAATTGGGTACTTCTACTGAAAATTATGCTAAACTCGTAAGGAACAGTCCCGGTTATAGACGATTCTCTGTTGTTTTGATGCGAGTGGGTTCAAAAGTCAAGGCTATTTTCTCCCCTCTCCTGTGGTTAGGCCTGGGCTTGGTACCAGGTGCCCCTGCTCTACACCACCCTGTGATCTCACAGCAGAGGGGCTCCCAACCTCAAGGGCCACCTTCCACAGCTTCCCGGCAGCAGGCAGGTGCGCTGAAGAACATCTGCTCAGCTCCTAGACGGGCAGGCCAGGTCTTGTTTGAACGGTACACGTCGTGCAATTCGACAGATACTTCTGAGCAATAGGGAAACCACTAAGCTGCCCAGAAGCGGCAGCTGAGGACCTCGCAGTCCACTCAGCCAGGGGCTGCCCACGTCTCTGTGCAGCGCGAGGTAATACTGTTGACTTTGTGGGCCATGCCATCCTTCTCACAACCACACAACTGCCATTCTAGAGTGAAAGCAGTCAGAGACACAATCTAAACGAATGGGCACGTGGCTGTGTCCCAAAACAATTCTCTACAAAAAGCGAGCAGGCTGGATTTGACCCACAGGCCAGTCCATCTCCACCAGGACTAGATCCCCAGATCTCCCTGGAGTCGGACTCTGTGTCTATCGGTCCCACTGTCTTTCCTTATTGCTGAGAATGGCTGGCAAGAGGGCCCACGCTCCTCAGCTTTCGAACGGGATCTAAGAGACATCTTGGGCACGATCGAAGGCTCAGCAAGATTTGACAATTACAGCCTGAAGCAGTTCACAGCACACGGAAAAAACCAAAAACCCGTCAGCCACTGCACAATGGACTATCGTGCCCCCAAGGAAGGATGTATTGAAAGATTAGTGATGATGTGTGAATGTGAATATGTGAAATGATTCATATTAAAGATAAATGTTACTTAGGAGACTCGGAACGTATCTAAATCTAAATAAAACAACTGGGAAGCGTCAGCGAGAAGTCACAACGTGAGTGTGACCGGAATCAACGAGAGCTGTTCCTTAGTCCGTCTGTAACACACTGTCAAGTAGCAACTGGGGTCTCACATGGACAGTGGCCTTCTGGGGATAAAAGGAAAGGTGGGTGGTGAGGATTTCTTCACGATGAGGGAGTTAAGTCCCTATCGCAGTGAAGTGATGACTTCAGCAGTGACAGTTCTTTCAGGCTGTCAGCACTTGATCTGTCCTAAGAATGGTCACACTCCTTTGTTCTGATTCCACCCTTACCACGCAACCTTCTGATGACAAGTATCTTTCAGTACAAACTTTCCTACAAGCAGCTGACAGCGGACAGTCTTTTCATTTACAAAGCAATTTTACTTTTCATTTTAAATGTGTAATTTAGTGTTCTCTTTTATTCACAGTCTTTTATGAATTTGGTTAGTGAGTTAATTCCCTAGAGCCCCCGCTGACAGTGAACCGTAACACTGAGGCAGTCCCCGGGGAATCCTCTAAGAGGCATGAGAGCACAACGGTTAAGAACAGACTGCGAACCCAAACTACCTGGGTGTGAACTGTGGTTCTGTCACTTACTGTGGATGGTGAGGAAGTAACTCATCTTTCTGTGCTTCAGATTCCTCATCTTTAAAAGGATAATAATCATGGCTACCGCGTTTGTCGTGTTACGCAAAACAGCTCAGAATGTGTAAAGTGCCTCAAGCTATATCAGGTATGCAGCTACCACGCACCCACTGGTGATAAGGCGCTGGGACTGCAATAAAGCACAGCCTAAGCAACTGGCCTGCCTCCCTTTAAGACCTTAAAAATGCAAGGCTACCTACTTCTCTGGGCGCTGGAACATCCAACCTGGTTTCTGCCGGAGCCTTAACTGCAATTACAATCTGTTCATGGAAGGCTTGAATGCTATGAATATCTTGATACGTCACATATGCTAGTGTGAAAATCAGTCAAGGGTCTCTAAGCAGAGTGGGGAGATCACTTATCTCTTATAATACATGAATCCAAGTGTAATCTTAGAATATCATTAGTTTTTATGGGATACAAACTCACAATTAAGGAAAGCAGTCAGGAAAAAATTATTTCATATATAGTTCTTATTATTTCATAAACAATTCTTAAGATTTTATTAAGTGTTTTACAATATTTATAACTTGAAGAATCCCTTTAAACTATACTATTGTGATGACGACACTTTCTGGAGAAAAATATTAATGAAGTCTGGACCTCTAAAACAAATACAACCCACGAAGGTATCAAACCTCCCCCCGCCCTTCCCTATGCATTGCGAGATCTTACTGTGAGAACCTTTGGGAAAAAATATTCAGAGTTTTGATGAGAATGTCCTAAAATGTAAGGTGGAAAGAATCGGTAAGTAGGAGACGCAACTTAGAGAACCAGTTTTTCAGGACTATGAGGTACTCATGGGATTTCCCTCATCCAAAATTATTTTCTATCTCGCTACCTGAATTTTTCTCATTTTCTTTTATTGTGCTGCCTGAAATTTTTACCAGTTACATGATTTACTGGGTTTCCCCAGAATTCTTTTTTTTTTTTTCTTATTCCACACATCTTTTGATTGAGTGTAGTAATAGCATTTACCTTCCTTCTAATAACTGTATTGTGGAAACGGGAGTTTTGACTGGGGTAGAGTCTAAGTAAACTTGAAGCACGGAACAGCTCAGAATCAGCGACACCTCAAAAGGTGTTCACCCGTTCCGTGTGGGGAACAGGGCAGCCAAACAGTCTAGGAGACCCGGGAGGAGATCAGTACCAAAGACAAACCTCCCCCTCTGGTCCCAGAGACATTGAACTTCGGAGCAGTACGACATTCAGCTGCGTGTTATGCTTTGTGGACTAGAATGGCAGTTTAAGTACCATTTCTATGGCAATTCACTCACTTTTGAAGGTCTTATTTTGTATCTTAAATATATTAATTTATCCCCAAGCTGCCCCTACCATATAAAGTAATCTGCTTTGGAAGGAGAATTTTTTTAAGGGCACAGAGTTAAAGGATATCTTTCATTTTCTTTGTCGTCTGTTAACTTGAACAGCTGCTGAGCACAATCCTTAATTAACTCATCCAGAGCGTCCTCCATCGCCGATAAATCAGAAAGTTCTTCCTGCAGCTTCTTCTGTTGGGGCACTGCTCCAAAATTGCTCAGATCAGACCCTCTTTAAAAGAAAAGGATCACCATCAATAACATCCAGGAGATTACAAAAAAATACAGGTTAGGTTACTGGAACTTCGCCAAACGTTTACACCAGGTGTTTCCCACAATGACAGAAACCAGGTACTGAACTCCAGTCCTTCCCTCCCATTATTCTAGACAACCATTATTTCTCCCGGTTTTTGTCCCCATTTCTATTCCCTTACACAGAGACTTTAAAAACAAAACCAACATCATAACCCTGTGGAAATTAGTAGTAGTAGGGAAAGCTTAATGAAGTTTAATGAGCACTGAACTGAGTCAGTAACACCCAGTTTCAGCCCAGCTCTACTTCTCACGTGACTTTTGACAAGTTATGATCTTTTAATCCTTTAGTTCTTACATATGAAAAATAAGATGTATTGGTCAAATGATAGTTCCCCTGCTAAAATTCTATAAGTCTTTATTTTTTCCCCACTGTGCGTATTCTATCCAGTTCTATCTGAATATAATGATCATTTTTTAAAGATATTTTTTCTTTATTACTGTTTACCCCAATATGACATGACCTGAGCAACAACAAATATTCATTCTTTTCTTCAATTTTTATAGAAAATAAAAAGTGAAAAGGCTGTTACCACTTTACCTTTCTTTTACTTGCTAATTCTCAAATCTGATTCTAATTAGTGATTCAGAACACAATCTGATATTAACCCCTAAAATGTTAATGTCATTTAGCAAACATGTTCAAATTAGAATCCAATTTGCATTTCCATAATATTGAAAAAATAACGTCCTTTATGAATCCCTTTCCTCTAATAGCTAAGTTAAGAATCATTTAATGATCTTTGTTGGTAGATTCTTCACTTGCCTGAAAGGTCTTTATGTACTTATATGCTGGAACTGTTTCTTACTGATCCAAAATACTTGCCTATTGTGAGTATAACAGCCTTCTTCCTGTGCGCGTTCCCTGCACATGTGCATGCGTGGACACACACACACACACACACACACACACACACACACACACCCCTACATTTATACCATAAAGTCTTCTTTCCATGAGATCCCTCCTAATTATATGTTAAGTCTTTAGCTATTGACTTTTAGATATTAAGTCTCCTGATTTTTTTTTTTACATTCAGGGCATTGTGTTTCGAAGTATGATATGCACCATAATCACTTGGGGGTAGTTGTTAAGAAGGCAGGTATCTGTCTTCTCCCAGAACTGAATTACAGCCCCTGGGGAGGGAGGCATCTAAGTGTTTATGACACGACAGTGGAAGAACCACCGTTTTACAGCCTTAACTCATTTCCCCCTGATGTCAATAATCAATTAGAAATGAAGAAATATTTTTTTTAAATTCCTATACAAATCAGATGTCCCCTTATCTTGAAAAGTGAAATTCTTAAAACTAATCATGACTCCATTTAACTTTTCCATAATATTGGAATGATATTCTATGTCTATGGCTTTTAATTGGTACCAAGTAAGAAAAAGACATTGCTAGTAACTAGTTTGTTTTAAGCACAGTGTTGTCACTTAATAAGAAGGGGAAAAAAAAGAAGAAGAAAAGTTTGAAAACAACTCACATCCATCGAATATGGTTCTTAGACTTCTTTTCAACCAGATCAATTCCATCCAGAACATTGGTGATGTCATACACTCTTCGTTTTCGTACGCCTAGTTTTGTTGCAACCTTGTTTAAGTCAAGAATACCCCCAGGAGCAGATCTGACAAGATCCATAAATTTTCGAGTTAAATAAACCAGTGATACATCAAAACGAGGTCTCTTCACTTTTAGAGCTTCTGGGAAACAAAACAAACACAATTCATAAAATTTAAAACAGCATTTCCTTCTCAACTCATTAAAAAAACCATTTATTTATTCTTGGTCAGTAAGCACAGACACCTACAGATATTCTACACACTGACCAAATCAGAGCTAATTTTTAGGAAATCGATTTCTCAAACTGGATAAAAATGTATTAGCCTATTGCAGGTAAACAAAGGCTTTAGACTTAAAGGAGTATTTGAAATACGCAACCAGTTTCCACTGAATACGTGAATCTAAAAGGCATCACGGCACCATATCAGACACGAAGTGCTGAGTCTGCACTTGCATCCACACCACTATCTGGAATAGGATTAGAAATGATTTTTAAAATTAAATTTCTCATTTGGTCTTCAAGTTAGGAAATTCTTTATAAAGCAAAGTTAGAGACTTGGCTTTAAAATAAAAAATGTTTAAAATGTTCCTATACACGTCATAGTGTTACCCTGTCTGATGAAGGTCAGCAAGAGCTCAAGTTAGTCTTCCGATTAGGATGACTGTGATATTATACCTTGAGGAAAAGTGACATAACTATTTTTTAAAATATTCACTACCCTGTATTAACTTAACTAAATGAAGGGGGAAACTGAATATTATCATTCTTTTCATCTTTCCCAATTTGATACTAGGAAAAAAGTTCTTATGGTTTAGTGTGCAGAGGAAATACTTTCATGAATAATTTAGTTGTCCTTCTGGTGTGGAGTATATGATTACTCTTTTTTTCTACTTCATGGCACACCACAGTATGCTTCAAAAGAAAGAGTCATCCTATCTTCAATCAAAAATGCCCTTATCCAGAACCTCTACAATGTCATATTCAGTGTAAAGACCACTGGTGGTTACTGCAAGAAAAAAAAGTACATATTTTATAATGTAAATGTCTTCCATGTGGAGACTACTCCTATACTTAAGATTAAACAGGATTAAAGAGGAATTAAACTTTTTTAAAAATGGAAGCAGAAGATAGTCACAATTCTACAACATATCTTGGAAGATTACAAATGAGAAACTCTGGCTTTAAAAACATTTACATTTGACCCTCGAACAACGCAGGAGTTAACCTGCGTATAATTTATCATGGCCCTCCGTATCTGCGGATTCAATCAAGCAGACCATTTAGTACTGCAGTCTTTACTACTGAAAAATATTCTCATCTAAGTGAACCTGCAGAGTTCAAACCCTGTCAGTCAAGGGTCAACTGTAATGATACTAAATTACTAACAAAACATGGTCTTATAAGTTCAGGATAAGTATATTCCTATCATGCCAGTCATTTTATAAAGAACAGATATTAATTGAACACCTATAACGTGACAGCTGCTGAAGGGATATAAACATGATTAAAATGGTCTCCAAAACAAAGGCGTTCCATGTTCCACAGTCTAGCAGGAACTCTACCCAAAACCCTGAGATGAGTGTGCCAGAGGGATTCAAAGTTACATAAGATGAAATAAAACCTTAACTGGAGTGGGAAACAGGGGAGGCCTCCTAACAGGCGTGTGCTGGGAACAGAGCATAGAAAGATGGACAGGAAGGTGGAGGGCGACGGGGGTGAGTGAGGCGCAGGAAACAGCAGAGCCCCGTGTGAGAACATGGCGTTTGTAGGGACTCCACAGCTGTACAGCGTTTGCGATGGGGGGAGGGTGCAGAGTACTGGGAGATGAGGCTGCCAAGTGGAGCGGGAAATGGCCATCAGGGGCCTTGTGCATCTGTCTGTCCGTTCTCTGCCTTGTTTCTTAATAGAATTTAATAGAAATAAATGAGGAGTCAGGGTTTTCTCCATATGTAACAGAGCATCACTGCAGAAGTTTAGGTTGAGTGATACCATCATCTAATTGCTGTATTAAAAGATCACACGGGCAGTAGAACGGAAGAGGCGAGGGGGTGGAAGAGCCTGGAGCCGGTGACTGACTTCGATGGCCAGGCCACTGCTTCCTGCCCGAGAAGCAGCAGCCTGACCCGTGGGTAAGACTGTGGGCTCAAGTCTGAGCATGGGGTTGAATCCTGACTGAGCAAGTTACTTAATCTCTGGGCATCAGTTTACTCATCTATCAAATGGGAATAATCATCCAAACCTGAGTTTTGAAAGGTGGTTGTGATAATCCATGCAAAGAGCTTAATACAGGCCAGGCGCTGTACAAGCTCCGTAAATGTGAGACCTGAGTGTAAGCTGGTGGCATGCGGCAGATGAAGGAAACGCTTCCAGAGTAGAACTGGCCAAACCTGGGGGCCAGATACGGGTGGGACTGTGGCAGGGCCGGGGAGAAATGAAGGTTGAGGTTACGGTTCCTCGTGGGCACCTACGCACCACCTACCCACCGAGATTAGCACCAAATTAAGAAGAAACGGAGGTGGGGCCATTTGTCATAACAATTTTCAGAAAGACAGGGAACTACCTGACTGACTCTGAACACTGATCCACGGCAGAAGTAGATGGGAAGGGCACAGGGAATCAAAGGAAACCAGGAAGGCCAAAGACTGTCCACACGCTTGCTGCCAAACTGCGTTCAGTTCTGCTTGCGGTGACAACTGCTCTCACAGAACTCTGGGAAAATACCCCGACAGAGACCATTCTGTTTTAAAAATGACATTTCCAAAGCAATGGAGAATAAACTGGCATTGGTGCACGTTAACAGCCCACAACCTCAGGAATTTTCGCTGAAATTCCAAGCTTTTACATTCCAGTGTACAAACAATGCATTTTAAGTTACTCATCAACTCGTGTACATTTAAAATAAATCACTTAAAACATATGAAGTTCAAACTACAAAACCTAAAACTGATTCAGGAATCGAATCAACTTACTTCTCATGGACACATATTGTACATTATCTTCTAAATTAATCCTTATTTTTGATGGCTGGAAAAAAGAAGATACAGAAATTTAAACTTAGTAATTTAAATACAAGCAAATGAATAGCAAAAAATAAAAGCAGAATTGTTAATAATTATTGCCCATCTCTTATTAATAGCAGCACAGTGGTTAATCTTCTTTATATGAACTAACGTGCGTGCATAAGGGGCCTTGTTTACAGATTAAAGGGGCCAAAAAGGGTAAAAAAAAAAAAAAAAGCAGAAACAATGCAAATGAACAACATTTTTCTGGATAATATAAAAGTTTGTCTTTTTTTTCACCCTGGGGTAATAATTTTGGTGTGAGAAAACCAGTCTTCCTTCTAAACTATATCTACTGTAACTGTAATCACATCTGACAATGTTCATCGACTTGAATTTCTGAAACTGCACAGGCCTCCATAAGTATGGAAGTAGTAGTTAAAGAGACGGCAGAGGAGGAGGAATGGTGCAGGGGGAAGGGGGGAGTATGAGACTTTATTACTAAATAGACATTCACCTATCAACTGTATCAGGTAGTGAGGATAAAAAGCAATAGAGAGGATCAGGACACTGTCCCTGACTCTGGAAAGCGCAGTAGAGATCTAAGAGACGTCCAAACTGACAAATGCTCACTCCTCGCTAATTAAGTGAGAATGGCTCCAAGAAAAGTGCTCACAAACTTTCACAGGCAGCCATGCATTCCCATGATAATTAATATAAAAACAGCATTTCTAATCATGGAAAATAATGCATGCTACATAACTAGAGACTTTGGTATTAAGATTCATAAAAAAATTCTTTTAAATTCCTGAGATGACCAGGAAATTAGTAGTAGCTCGACCATCAATGCTCACCATTTTACCAGCTATTTGGAGGCTATGAAAGTTTATATAAACGTGTAGTAATGTTTGCAATATATTTAAAAATTGTTTTTGCAAAAAAATAAGTAAAACCTAAGCTAAGGTTAATAAACAGAAATCCATATTGGCCTCTTGCTTACAACAAAGTATGTATAATGATGCCACGTGTCTCCAGACAAGCTGTGCGCAGGTTTAGCTCCTGTGTAAGTGAAAAAAACTGGCCCCCAAGTGGGCCGCAGCAAAACTGGGATAAGTGAATTTCATAAGGTGCCCTAAGAAGGGAAACAACAGCGCTCTGGATGCACCCAGCGAGGGGATCACAAGGATTCACAGGCAAGGGGACCCCTAGCTGAGCCTTGGAAGACAAGCCAGAATTTGCCGGAACCTATGGGAGGTTAAGGAGGGAGGAAAAAGACAGAATTCCTGGAGCAGGAAGTGAAATGAACAAAGGTATGGAAATATAGATCACCTGGCACCTTTTGAGAAGCCACCTGGGTGGCCAGTGCAAAACCAACTTGATACTAAGGCTGGACGGGAATGCTAGCACCACGCTCGACACAGAAGACCATGAAAGTCATGCTACAGAGTTTGGACTTTCTGCTGTAACCAGTGCTGAATCACCACAGATTCCTGAACAAGATACGACGTCGTCCAGCTCATGGTTTAGAAATCTAAGTGTGGTGGCAATGTGGCAAAAAGACTGAAGGTGCGGACACCTGAAGGTGAGGTGAGCAGCTAAGAAGCTCTTTGCTGGTAGTGTTACGATCCTCAGCACAATGATTCCCTTACCATCTATGACAAGGTGACAGCATCTGTCAGCAAGCTAACTCGATATGGAATAACTCCCCTGGAACAGAATTCCACTGTAACATTAACTTAGCTGTTACACGCAAACCTGCTGGGTGCAAAACCAGTCGGGAGAGCCCGTCTTGGGGCAGGGACTCTGCCCCGCTAGCTCTCAGCACAGTGCTAACGGTGACTTGTGAAGACAGTATCCAACAGTGCCACACTGAAGGGCAGTCCTATTCAAGGCAAACATCAGACCAACAGGACCAACTGTCACTGCTATTTTTACTTTCAACCCTTCTGCTAAAACAGTATGAGATGGAGTTGAACTACTGATGCAAGATTCTTAAGTGAAAAAAAATCCATCGTCATCACACTAATTTGAAACACACATCAACAAATATCCTAAGTTGTTGTAAATATTATGGTCTGTCTATGAGTTTTCTATTCAGTCCACGATCTGTTGCTTACGTATCTGCAGCACACTACTTCAATCGCTATAGTGTCTGAACAAATCCTGAGAATGCACACAGACAGGGCTAACAGAGCAGGTGCCTTGCTGCGAACAGGCTTCTGTTCTTAGCTTAGAGCAGCAGGGCGAGTCCTGCACACAGTACCTAACGGTTTCCAAACAGGCTGGCTCCCTATCTGCTCTCTACACATTCTGCAAGGGCACCTTCCTGCTCTATACCCCCTCCCTCTGGTCTCCTTATCTAGAATGCCGCTATTCACAGCTTGGCACAGGGATAATACCTCAGTCAGTAACATGAGAAAGTATGACTTGCTTTCCCCTACATTCTGTGCTCTAAACCACATACTGGCTCTGTTGAGATCTGTGGGAAAACAGACACTAACAGCACCCATTCGTTTTTTTCCCTTTGAATACAAAAGCGCTCTCTCTTTATTTGGGAGGAATCACAATAGCATCATGGCCCCTCAGGGGCAGACATCCCAAATAAAGATTGTATAAATCCTACAGACCCACAATTCTGGAGATTTCCAAAGTGCCCGTAGTGATGACACATTCATCTCATTTATACTCAAAATAGTTCTTGGCTTAAGATCGGGTTCAGGACTACCAGAACTTCTTAGATGCTGGGAGATCCCACCCTTATCAGTAACGCAGTGTAGGGATATAACCCACTTTCCAAGCTACTGTGAAGATTAAATGACAAATTTTGTAAACTGTAAAAATCCTATGAAAGCAGAAGAGACTATGGTTATTGTTTTCCTTTTTGAACCAGAACAGTGCCTGGCACATTCAGGCACTTGGTAAATATTTGTTAAACTAATGAACGGAAGAGTGAAATAGGACCTTGTCTGGATGACTTCAACTGACAAACAACAATGAGTATTTACAGACACAGGGACACAGGGTGAAGACTCCCTCTTTGGTACACCATCAATAAGGACCACTGCGAGACTCTGAAGCCTCAGTCTCTGTTTTCTAATACAAATTTATCATCTGGAGAGACTCAATCCGACAGTCCTGGCAAGCCTTCCCAATTACTCTAACTTTGGTGAACCACACCCAACAGGTAAGCTAGGAGCTTTTCTGGGAGGAAATGGGACTAGATAGGAGTTCTTCTTTTTAAATGGCTTTAAAATCAGAATACAGGTTTTCTCACACAGAAGTTAGTGAGCTATTAAAAAAAAATGTAAATGAAATGCCACCCCTGCACTTGGTCCCTCAGAACAGAGCAGGGCACCCTGCCCTGGAGGAGAATGGCGAGGCTCGACACCCCTGCAGGGACGAGGAAACTGGAGAGAAGGTGAGCAGAGAGCTCCCGGTCAAGGTGAGGCACGACCGAGCCCTTCCCAACAAGAGACTGATCGTCTGAGCACCTTTCAGGGATACCCATTTTCCTTTTGTTTTGAAACAATCTCAGCCTTCAGAAAAGGTACAGAAATAGTACCAAGAATTGCCATATACCCTTCACCCAAATCCTTCAAATGCTAACGTTTTACTACATTTGCTTTATCTTTTTTTTCTATACACACATAATTTATTTTTTCTGAATCATCTGAGGGTAAACTGCAGACCCCTAAATAATTCAGTGTGTATCTCAAGGACATTCTCTTAGACAACCAGAGTATAACTACCAAGAAATCTGTTCGAGACTAAGCAGTCTTGAAAAAGTTTGTCAGTAGAAATCTGGACTTTGCCAGTAAGGGTTCAAAAGGAAGGGGAACTTGTTAGAAACTTCAAGAAGGGGGATCCCCGTTATGCTAAGACAGAGCACTTAGCAACACTGTCAACTGCAGATCCATGGAAAGCAGATGGTAATGAACCGGGTAACCTAACCGAGGAGATTTCCACACAGTGTTAATGGGGATTGGGTAGGGGGGAAGGGAGAGAGGGAGGGAGAGAGAGACAGACAGAGACAGAGAGAGACAGAGAGAGGAAAGGACTGTTAAAAGAAAAAGAAGCTATGACTTGGTAGCTTTAAAAAATTCTCAGCCTCTCAAGAAGCTAAAAATTAAGAGAAGACTTCTGAGAAAGACCAAATCAAAGGCACCACCAGAAAAACCGAATGTAAAGGGGAAGGTGAGACTGAACAATTTTTTTTTTTTTCCTGCGGTAAGCGGGCCTCTCACTGTTGTGGCCTCTCCCGCTGCAGAGCACAGGCTCCGGACGTGCAGGCTCAGCGGCCGTGGCTCACGGGCCCAGCCACTCCGCAGCATGTGGGATCTTCCCGGACCGGGGCACGAACCCGTGTGCCCTGCATCGGCAGGCGGACTCTCAACCACTGCGCCACCAGGGAAGCCCGAGACTGAACCATTCTTGGTGAAGTCCTCAGAGATCAAAGATGGTATTTCAGAGTGCCATTCAGTCACACAAAAGGCCCCTGAAGGAGACTAAGGATGAACCTCACAGATCCTCTCAACCTAAGGACGGGGCCTCTAGGAAGCTGCAGGGCACTGTCCGTCGGCCACCCCAGCAGGAGCCCAAGGTACAGAAGAGTGTATTTCAAAGAAATCTGTGGGTGGGACGCTTGTCTACTGAGTGAACCACAAGAGTCACAGGACATCCACATAGTTTTTGAGAGAATTACATTGGCAAAATCACTGCCAGCTTGGTCTAAAAGGGATAAAGACAGTTCAAAGTGAAAAGAGGCCCCTGGACACCCCCAAATTATGCTGACAGGAAGCAGGCTGAAAAAAGTACTCAGCTACAAATACTGAAGAGATATGACCTTTCATGAAAAAAGAAAGACAGGCTCAGATGGCGGAACCAAGAGCCCAGAGGGAGAGGTGGGAACATGGAGAATTGTTCCCAGACCTTGAGACCTAATCAAAAAACGTCCCACATTTACCAGGTGGCATTTCAGAACTGCTCCAGACCAGATGCTCCTCCATGACCCCTCTTTTTCTCCTTTATGGACAGGACTGTCTACAGCAGTTATCCCATGTCTGTCCCACCAGTGTACGATGTATGCTGGGTGTGTGTTGGGGGGGCAGGGGTCAGATAACTTGTCTTTTTAGTTTCACAGGCCTAAAGATCTGGAGGAACTGTACCTGAGGAGCTGTACTTAAAGAACTACATCCAAGGAGCCTGAATTCTTACCTTATTCTGTGAGTACAAAATCTGTTACTTTGAGGCTCACACTGTCCCAGATTAGGCCAATGGGAGCCTTTCACAGTGGTTCCTGCACAGGACACTTACGTTTGACCTTCTCAGCATCTTTAGGATGGCCGTCCTCAGAGGAATGCTCCCTCAAACTTCTATGGCACTAACCTGCCCAGGTGCCAGCAGAGATGCTGCTGCTTTTAGTTCTGACAACCCACCACTGCGGAGGCATGCCAACACTTCTGTTCCTTTAAGGAAGTCACACTGAGGGGCTACGCTCAGGTATTTCCCCCAAACATGCCAAGGGACAGCCCAGTAACAGCCAAACCTCAAGACTGGACGTCCTAGGAAATTTTCCTGTTCAATCCTCAAACTGCTTCTGTCTCTCTCTCACTTGTTCAAGCCTCTTAGCCTGTCTGTATCTTAGCCGGGAAGAGGCAGAGCCCGCAAACTGAAACCACTGAGGCTGCTTCCAGCGCACACAGCTCTCTAGGCACCAGCAGCTCCTGATGGGCAAGGCAGCACGTTCCCAGTTATTCCACTAGCACTCCAAGTCCCACAACTAAAAACCTACACTTTTCAACTTGTGACCTCAAAGGAGAAAGAATAGAATAAAAGGCGAGTTTTAGGGACTAAAATCTTAAACACTGCCTCTAAATTGGTTAAAAATTTCTCTACACAGATCCTTCTTTGTACCAATTGCCTGTTTGGGGGAGTAATATCCCTTTAAGAGCTCTCTGGACATATACCTTTTCCCACGGTGACTGCATTCTTGTCACACACTCAAATTTTCCTCATTTTTCAATGTGCAGACTAAGTTCCATCTTTAATCAGTACCATGTTCTGCCTTCACAGAATTCCAGTTTTCAAGCCATTTGCCCAGGGAACATCAAACACTCAGCCGTACACATAACTATTTTTTGCAGTGTTTAATAATACACAGTTTACTAAATACTGCCAGTCATTAGCCAATTAAAAAATGCTGAGATAGGTGTTTAAATCAGCATTTTACAGCCAGGAAAATAAACACTCATACATTCAAACATTTACGGAGTACCTATTTCATTCATCCAAAAGCTATTTACCAAATATTTTTGCAAGAAGCACCAAATGTGCTGGGGATGTAACAATGAAATGAACAGAGTCGCTGCGCTCAGGGACCGAAGAGCCACACAGTGCAGAGAGGAGGAGGCACAGGGCGCTCTGGGAACACAAAAGGAGCGCTTAACCGAGTCTTGGGAAGTCAGGAAGGCTGCCGACAAGTGACCTATAAATCTAGACCTGAAGAACCATGGGAGGTGACAAGGAAAAGTGTGCTTTAAAGGTTTTTTTAAAAGGGGGAGTGCAGATACACAGGGGTCCAAGAGAATATGGAGATATGGAAAATTTAGCAACTATAGGCAGTTCAGGAAAGATAAATCCAGGGGTCTGATTACATAAAGAAGTTTCTCCTCTATCCTGAGAGCACTAGGGAACCATGACAGATTCTTTAAGTCAAGTGACGTGATCGGAAATATGTTTTAAAAAGACCATCATGGTTAGTTACTATGTGGAGAATATATAGAAAAATCAAGGGCAAGATGAGAGGCAGGAAAACTGGTTAAGAAGATTACAATCCAAAATATAGACGATGGCTAGAAGTGGCAGGTACTGGTGATTAATTTTAACTAGATAGAATGGAGGGGGTCCGTTTGGAAAAGGAAAGGATGATGCCTAGGATACTAGCTTGGGCAGTACGGTGGGTGTGGTACCATTTATTGCGATAGGAGACAGCGAGTTGCTGCTTGCTTAGGCAAGAAGATAATGAATTCCACTTTAGATACGTGAGTTTGACATCTAAGTAGAAATGTCTAGTAGACAGTTGCAAAGCTCTGAGCCAGATTTATAGATTCGGAAGTCATGACATGGTAACTGAAACTACCAGAGTGAATAAGACTATGTACAACTTCAAGGGATATATGTGTATCTTCTGACATTAAATGCAGAATAAAGTGGTTTTTCCATAGTAGGAGTTTGGAGCTTTTATCAAGTTCTCAAAGATTAAGACCACCGATACCAATAGTAACAGAAGTCACAAGAGTGGTGAATGACACCCCGCAGGAAGAAACCGTGGAGAAGGTAGAAGATCTGAATAACACCGACACGGAAGGAATGGGAAAAGGAAGAGGAGTTTACAAAAGAGGACAGGAGAGGCCATATAAGCAGATGGAGCGCTGAGAGTACGTGTCCGGCGGGCCGTTCAAGGGCTAGTGTCCAACATGAGTGAGCGGTCGATCATGTGCAAACTACAGAAGGTACGGAGTGAGACATCTGCTGGACGTGACTGGCGACCTTGGTTAGAACGTCTCAGAGCTGTGCTTAGGGCAGAGGTCCCCCAGCAGGTGGTAATGACAGGTGAGCAAGCAGACCCAGGAGTGCAGACAACTTTTTCAGAAAGCATGGCTGTGAAGGGGAAGAGATACAGTAGGAGGAAGGGCATATGGAATTTAAGGGAGGGATCTTTCACAATGGAAACGGATTTAGGATGCATTTTAAGTAGTCCAGAATTTACCACCTGGAGTCAGACACTGCGAGGTTAAACCCAGGCCTGTCTACTCACTAACGACAGGCAAACCACTTAAGAGCTCCACGTCTATTTTGGCAACTGCAAAACAAGAAAAATAAACCCTGAGGACTGCTGTGCGGAATTAAAAGAGATGATGCTCATCAACTATTTTTGAGCACTGAGTCCTCCTGGCGTCTGGGCAAACGGACCTCAGGAAATGTTTATTTACTAAGAATGGGAAGAAACCAGCAAAGAAGTCGAAAATACAGGGAGAATGGAAAACGATGGGTTCATCGAGGGTCCTGAGACTCCAGGAGAATATATCGCATCTAGTCCAGAACAACAGAGGAAACTGACCTCCGGCAGGGAAGCCAATCTCCCACTTTCTCTGTCAAAGAGGACCAAAGATAACTTGCTGAATGGGAAGCCGTGGAACGGTAAGTGTGAGGTGTGGACACGCTTTTAAGTGGCTGCCCTTAAGGAGAATGGCAGAAGAGGCTGCAGAGAAGAACACACGAGAGAGAGCTTGCAGAGACCCACTGAGTCCAGTGGAGACGCAAAAGCGTAACTGTCTCGGGCAAAGCTGGGCAATTTTCTCCAACACTACTCTGGAGCCGACGGAAAAGCCCAGGAGGCTGACAACACGTTTGCGAGCAGACGCAAACAAGACGGCGAGAGCTCAAGCGAAAGACCTGTCTGCTTTACTGGACGCGAAGGGCAGTGCGAGAGCTGGGGGGACCGAGGAGCAGTCCCGGGCCACCTCGAGGAGCGCACGACCGAGACGACGGCCAGTCCGGCCTCCCCGCGGGCCTGGGACACCCCCCACCCCGCGCCCCGGCCCCGTCGCTGGGACACACTTACCAGCAGGCCCTCCACGTTGATGGGGTCTCGGCAGCGGCGCCGCACCGTCTCCTCCGCCGGGTCCACGAGCAGGCTGGGCAGCTTCCGCGCCGGCCGCTGCTGACTCATGCTGCCCAGCCGGCCGCCTCTCGCCTCGCACCCCGCGAGCTCTCCCGCCTTCTCCCGCTCGGGTCGGGCACCGCCCCCGACCCGCCGGGTCCCGGGGGCCAAGCACGAACTGGACTCCTGGCCTGCCCGGAGGCGCCGCCTGGCTAGGCCGGCCCTCGGACGGGCGCGCAGCTGCCCCACGACCCCGGGAGCTGGAACGCGGGCGGGAGGAGAGCAGGGTGACCCACGGCTCTCAGGACGCCAGGCCCGCCATCTTCCCGCATGCGCAGTGCGTCGCCCCCAGTGCGCATGCCCGGCGCGGCCGGAGCGCTCCCAAACACAGACCCGCTCCCGAAGGCCGGAGCCCGAGAAGTCCCGGAGAGCGGAATCCGCGGAAAGGATGGCGAAGGAAAAGGAAGACATGGAGCAGGAATTCCAGACGAAGGGAACGGGGCGAGAGGAAAGAGGCAGCCGAGACAACACAGTGGTCGCCTCGGAATTCTCGACACTAAAGGTACTAATAACTGAAAGTTCTGAGCTCGCAGGGATGTTAATTTACTCTTGAGCTCCCTCCGCACGTCTCAGGCACTTGCCCAGTGTTGATGCTTAGTAAATGTTGGTAACCAAACCGTCGTGGAATTGTTTACTTACATGTATCTTTCCTCCTTTCCCTTTTCTTCCTTCTTGTCATTTGAGGAATAAACTATTGACTCCCTAGGTGTCAGAAATCGTGGTGCGCACAGGAGATATTCGTTTGAATTTGGCACAATCTCAGATCCCGGTGGAGGGGACAGATAAGTAAAGGAACATTTAAAGCTGGAGCCACTTTGCTGTACAGCAGTAATTAACACAACATCGTAAATCAACTAAACTTAAGTTAAAGAAAAGAGAGTGTTTCAATAACAAAGGTTACATGTGCCAAAAATCCGCTAAGCAGGTAATAAAAGGGGGAGTTTAAATGCCAAATAAATAAAATAAAATAAAATAAAAAATAAAGCTGAAGCCAGATGGTGTGTTTTCAGATCCTGGCTCCCCCTACTTAGAAGTTTACAAGACCTGAAGCAAGCTGCTTAATCGCTCTGTACCTCAGTTTCCTCATCTGTTAAATGGGACTAAGATTGTTGTGAGGATTAAATGAATTAATGAATGTAGCCTACTTAGAACTGGGAGTAGTGTGTATTTGATATAAAAAGGTAATACCATGTGATAAGTGCAGGGTGGAGGGCAGCTACTGAGCTGTAGACCAAGAGCTTCTACCCAGCATAAGGTGGAAGGTGGGTTCCCACTAGACTAGAAATTTCTTGAGGTCAGAGGCATTCTTTAATCTGTGATCTCCAGCATCTAGCACAGTTCCTGACAAATAGTTAAGTGCCCCATAAGTGTTTGCTAAACGAATGACTTGAGATAAAGGATAATCTAGGAGAAGTCTCTAAAAGATTGGATTATGTTGCAGAATGGAGAATTTCCCAGAGTGGTTAAGTGACACCTTTACCAACCCCAGTCCCCTGAGAAGGCAAGCTCTGGAGATCAGAAATGGCTGGGTTTTTTTTTAAAAAAAAGACATAACCCAGCATTTTAGGTCTGTTTAACATTCTGCTAAATGTTCTGTACACATTTTCTTATGTAAATCTTATATCAGAACTGAAAGATAGGTATTTTTCTGCCCAATCTACAGATCAGGAGAATAAATATTAGCAAGATTTACAAAAATTACCCGAGGTCCTGGCTAGGCAGGGGCAGAGGCAGGATTTGACCTCATAGCTGATTGATTTAGTAGGTGGATCGTTGGGAAGATTCTTGAAGGGTGACTAGATTTTCTAGAGCCAGAGGTGGGGTTGGGGGAGTGAAGGTGGGTGAGTCCGGGGGCAGGGGTGGTGTTGGCGGGCGCTGCAGGCTGAAGACCGAGCATGAACACAGCTATAGAGAGTCAGGCCCGTGACCCTGCCCTCCAGACACTTACAGTACCTGTGACTTGGCTTTTTACCCTGAGACTTAATCATTCACGCATTTTTTGAGCCTGTGCCTGGCAGGAGTACGTGCTGAGGAGAGAACTAAGTCTGAGGGGTCCTTACCTTGTGCTCCAGTGGCCCCCACGGAACCAGAATGCGTAAGTACTAACTTAGAAGGTGTATAACATGCTATGGAAGCGCAGAGAAAGAAGAAAAAAAAATAACTGGACTTGGTGTAAATCACAGGTGCTTTTTCACACATCTTCCTGTGAGGTAGACATTTCTAGAATACTTTACAGATGAGGATACAGAGGCTCAGAGAAGTTAAGTGACTTGCTCAAGGCCACCTCCTCAGGTGGCTCAGATGCAGGACTTCAACCACCAAATCCTTAGCTTTGTCCATCAAGTCCTACTGTGGTGCACAGACACAGCTCCCAGCACAGAAATTCTAGTATTTCCATTTCCAGTCCTGTTTTTGTGTGTTTTTCTTGGGGCAAAATGGTGCTAGGGCAAAATAGGGTGTGGGCTTTGAGACTTTAAAATTAGGGCTGAGATATAGGCCGAAGGCCCAGGTGTGCTAGAGGAATGCTGAGAGGCCTTATTTGTCAAGGGGTATTTTGCCTTCCTTCTATTGTAAAATTTCTTCCCCAGAAATCTGTGAGGAAATGGCCACGTCCAATAGGGAATAATGGAAATGTTTTACACTGTCCAATATGGTAGCCACTAGCCACGTGTAGCTGTTGAGCACTTGAAGTGTGTCTAGCAAGGAACTGAACTTTCATTTATTTTAATTTAACTTGAATTTTAATAGCCAGGGAACTAGTGGCTACCATATTGGATGGCACGGGTGAAGATACAAAAATATGGTATCACCTAGTCTGGTGAGATTCTGCGTGTGGTCGTGGACCTCAGCATTGCCATCACCAGCGAGCTTGTTAGGAATGCACACTTTCTGGGTCTACCCCAAACCCTACAGAATCAGAAACTCCGAGGACTTGGGTGTACTCTGCCATGCACTGGTCTAGCCCAACCCCTTCTTTTCCAGGTGAGGAGACCAATCCTCGTCCCCTCTCCAAGGGATGATAAACCAGCTATATTGAAGCCAAGTTAACTTTTCTAATGGGATTGAGGGCTTGGAGCAAATCCAATGGTCGCCACTCTAACCTACGATTTGCTAGGCGTTACAGCTTTCTGCATCTACCTCTCACGCCGGCATAGGCGTTCTCAGATCTTCAACGACAGGAGAGGCCAAATGGGAGGCAAGGAGAATGGTTAGGAGGCTGTCGGTCACCGAAAGGACAGTTGATGATGGCAGAACTGGGCAGTGCCAGTGAAAGTGGAGAGCAAAGGACAGATTCAAGAGCTAGAAGATAGATGTAGAAGGAACAGAGCTTGGGGGTTGATGAAGTTTGAGGGAAGACTTGGACCCGAGGTGGCGCTTTGGGTACTTGAAGTCCAGGCACAGGTGAGATTTGACAAGGGCAGGAGTGAGGGCAGGATGGGGCAGGGCCAGAGGGCAACCAGTGTGAAAGGGCCGGCAGATACTGTCACATTGTTTACAATGAGCAGTTTTGCTTTTGTTTTCAAACTAACCAACAGCAAAGGTAATTAAGAGGGAGCAGCTAGGGAAATAGAAAGTGAATCTAGGCTATGGGTGCCTTAGAGGTTAAAAGAAGGGATGTTTTCTGTCTTTCTTCCCTCCCTCCCTCCCTCCCTCCCTCCCTTCCTTCCTTCCTTCCTTCCTTCCTTCCTTCCTCCCTCCTTCCTTCCTTCCTTCTTCCTTCCTCCCTTCCTTCCTTCCTTCATTCCTCCCTTCCTTCCTCCCTTCCTTCCTTCCTTCTTCCTCCCTCCCTCCTTTCCTCCCTCCCTTCCTTCCTTCCTTCTTCCTCCCTCCTCCCTCCCTTCATTTCTTCTCTTTTCTCTTTTATTCTTTCTTTCCTACTTTGTTTCCTTCCTCTCCACCACCCCCCCCCCCTTTACTTTTTTAAGATAGCAAAGACCTAAGGTTTTCATGTTGATGAGAAGGAGCTAGTAGAAAGGGAAAGCTTGAAGATGCAACAGAGAAAGGGGATAACCCTGAGAATGCTGTCAGGGATTCCATCCAGAGCTCCAGGAAATTGGAAACAAGGGGAGGGCTCCACCTCCACAGTGATGGGAGCAAAGTGTAAGGACAGAAGCAGACAACCTTATAAGGTATTTTTAGCAGGAAGTTGAAGGAGTTCATGCTCTGCTGAAGCCAAGATCATCTGCTGAGAGTCAGGGGAGACGGTAGAAGTGGAGATTTGGTAGACATACCAGGCACTCAGTAAATATGACCCAGCGATTCCACTCCTGGGTGTACATCTGAAAAAAATGACAACACTAATTCAAAAAGGTACAAGCACCCCAATGTTCAGAGCAGTTTTATTTACAGTTGCTAAGGTATGGAAGCAACCTAAGTGTCCATCAACAGATGAATAGATAAAGAAGGTGCTGTGGATATGTACATGTATATATATATATACACACACACATGCACAATGGAATACTACTCAGCCATAAAAATAATGAAATATTGCCATTTGCAGCAACATAGATGGACCTCGAGATTATCATACTAAGTGAAGTAAGTCAGAAAGAAAGACAAATACTGTATGATATCAGTTATATGTGGAATCTAAAAAATACAGCAAACTGGTGAATATAACAAACAAGAAGCAGACTCAGATACGGAGAACAAACTAGTGGCCACCAGTGGGGAGAGGGGAGGCAGTATAGGGGTAGAGGATTAAAAAAAGGGTTATTATGGGACTATAGGAAATCATGCGTGTGAAACTTTTGAAAATTGTAAAGCACTATAGAATTTAAACAGGTTTCATTAATAATAATAATAAAAAGATGGTTTCTAGCAGAGCTGCAATCCAAATTCTTGTCTTTTACTTTCTAGGTCAGTACCCTTTTTAGGAAGGTGATGAGGCACGAGGACAAACACTTGGCGGGAAAGGAGTGTCGTAGAGATGGAAGGATGCAGAAAGAGGAGAGGTGGCACGGAGGAAGGAACAGACGAACCTGGACTGGAGCAAGTCCTGCATCCACCCTTATTAGCCTCACTGGCAAGCATCTTAACCCTTAGGATCCTCAGTTTCTCTGTTTGTAAACGGAGGGTAAACATACCTCCAATTCTGCTGTATTAGAGACAATGGACGTCAAGTCTCTGGTGCATTGAATCCATCTTCAGTGGTAACACAAACTTCCTAGCTTCACAGGGGCTGTT